TTCAAAAATTAATATTCTAATGGAGAAAACCTACAATTTCTTCTTCATTATGTCAGAAGTCTTATGTGTGCAGAAAGGTACTTGAGTTTGAACTTGCCTCTTATACCTCAGACTTCCACATGTCATTTAACACAGAATTCAGGCTTCATGCATGGAAACAGAAGGCACAATTCACCATTCAGTGCAATACACATGTACTATATCTAACAATACTGTAGAAATAACATAAAGGGTATTAAACAGCAATCTGTGAAATGTCACAGAATCCTATATCCTGCTTCATGAAGTAAAGAAAAATCATTTGCTTGTAGTTACTGCTGTGAAGCCAAACTCACGGGATTCTCACTCTGACGACTGTTTCTTCTAACACAAGACCAGCAAAACTCCCACAGCTTAGAATTTTTGGCCTTTGAGGGCAGCAGGAGGAGGGTAGAGTGTGAGCCTGAATGAGTGATATTGGCTACCATGCATTACTTGCACAGTCTATTTTCAAAATGGCCCTTTACAAGAAATGATAAGATACTTACAGATAAGCAATTATGTAGTAACATAATTTCCACTACTTTAAAGACATTGGGCCAAAGTCTCCAGACTGCTCTGACCACTTTGTGCTCCTTAAAGAGTGCCAAGTGGTCATAAACTCACCAGAGATTTCTAGCAGAGAATTCCTTTTATGGAGGGGAATGGCATAGAGTGAGCACCAGTCATTCCCCTTTCCCCAGTGTAAAGGGGAAGATAGGAGCATGTCAGGGACGACCTGAGGAGTAACAACTGAGCTTCACTATGCCTAATCCTTCACTGGGATGAAGGATCTTACCGGTGCTATCCCTAGCTATTCTGGGGCCCTATTCTGCAAGGGGGTGGGGCCCCAGGCCTCCACAGAGGTGGAGTGGGGGGCTGGCTCCAGACCTCCACGGGGGGGGGGGGAGGAGGGGCTGGCTTGGGGGCCAGGGGGGAACAACTCCCCAGCACGCCAGTACTCACTGACGGCGTAGCTACGGCCGGGTCCCTGAACTTCCTGCCACCAGTGAGTGTAGGCCTGGCCCTGCTGCACTCTTCAGGGTGGGAAGACGCGGGGCTGGGTGGGGGCAGGGGGGGAGGGATAGCTCATAGGGGGGAGGGATAGCTCAGTGGTTTGAGCATTGGCCTGCTAAACCCAGGGTTGTGAGTTCAATCCTTGAGGGGGCCATTTAGGGATCTGGGGCAAAAATTGGGGATTGGTCCTGCTTTGAGCAGGGGGTTGGACAAGATGACCTCCTGAGGTCCCTTCCAACCCTGGTATTCTATGATTCTATGATTCTTTGGGGAAGGGGTGGAGTGGGGGCGGGGCCTGGAGAAGAGGCGGGACAGGGACTGGAGCAGCATGCAGCCACGCAGGGCACCAGGAAATTTGGTGCCCCAAGTTTCCTGGTGCCCCACGCAGCTGTGTACTTTGCGTATGGGTAAGGACAGTCCTGGATCTTACGTCAGCACCACAGTTTAGAGCAGGGTCCTTCTGCTCTAACTTACGCTGGGGCCAGGCAGCCCCAAATCAGGGTGCCACAACTGGCTCCCTGAGACCATCACTCTCCACTGCAACTTGGACATACTGGAGAAGAAGGGCCACGGTCTCGACAGGATTCTCACACTTGAATAATAAGAAGTTTGAGGATATCCCAAACAAAAAATAGGCTCCAAAAGGCAGCAACAGAAAAGACCAACAGAATCAATGAAAAATTTTAGCTGCTAACAGATACCACAGAGACTCTGACACTGGAATGTGGAGGTAGCAATAAAAATGAGAAAATGACTTCAAATAGAGATATTTGGCCACCATAACATAAAACCCCCCAAATAAACAAAACTCCTCTGGGGATGCAGTGGAGAGAGTTGGTTCTCTCCTATTTAGGAAATATGTTCTCTGGACGCTGTTTCTGATCAATATCACTTCATGGATGCGTGAAGAGAGCTCTGCAGAGGACAGCAAGGGAGATTTCTTTCACACAGGTAGTAGAGTCAACTAAAGCTTGTTAACAAATTAAAAAATGTTAAGAAATATCTAAATTTCTAAGCTGTTTCCATTTCATAGGGTTCAAGACAGACCCATTTTCATTTTTTCAACATTTTAATTGCATTTTTATCAATGGTTATCGAAATTGGTTTTCCACAAATTTTCAATAGATGAAGCATTTTTATAACAGTTTTGATGTTTTTAAAAAATTGATAGAAAGTGGAATGGGGACAGTTGGTCCATGTATCTCTCTTTCGTGTCCCTTGTGGATTCCTGGGTGTGTCCCAACTAAGAGCCAGCTTTCTTGGAGGGGTTGGAGGTGATCTCCATGACTTGTGCACACATGGTTTGATTCCAAACCAATTTCAAAGTCCCACACATTATGGGTGGCTTCCAGTCAGAAAATACAATGAATAAGGTTTACACTGTCGTGTCCCAAGGGCATCTCTTGGACCCAGTGAGATCCCTTCCTCTTTTGAAGACACAGCTATAACATGAACATAGATTCTAGAAAGAGATGAGACAGTTTGACTATTGATAAGCAGGAGCAAGGAATAGTATATGCTTCGCAGAACTGAGGCAAAAATATTAAAGTCTCAAGAAAATCGAGAGGGGCATGCCAAACCAAACAGAACTGATACAATGAGAAAAAATGAAACTAATTAAGAGCCATAAGGCACCAAGATGGGAGGGGAAGGGGGAAAGAGAGGTTGAACTTGAGACATTGAGGCAAAGGAAGATTTAACCATCGGTGGTGGATCTAGGCGTGCTGGGGGGGCTGCCACACCCCCTGGCTTGAAGTGGTTTCCGTTACATACAAGGTTTACAGTTTGGTTCAGTGGCTCCCAGCACCACCACTATACACATTGTTCCACCACCCCTGGATTCAACTCCCTGAGGCAAAATGCAGTGAGGCCCCAAGGCAGAGAAAAGAGACAAATGCAGTGAGGCACAGACACCAACACCCAAGCTTGGCCGCCATGTAATGAGGCAAAAAGAGAATTTGGGCAATTTGGAAGAAAATACTGGGTACTAAAGGGCTCCTTAGTCTCGCAGAAAAAGGCAGAACAAGAACCAAAGCCTGGAAACTAAAGCCAGACAAATTAAAATAGGAAGTAAGATACATTTTTAACAGTGACAGTCATTATCTACTGGAACAAACTAGCAAAGAAAGTGGTGAATTATCCATCTATTGATGACTTCAAACCAAGACTGGATTGCCTTTCTAGAATATATGTTTTAGCCAAGCACAAATTATTGGATTAAATATGGGGTAACTGGGTGAAATTTAATGGTCTCTGCTACACAGGAGGTCAGACAAGATAATCTAAAGGCTCCTTCTGTCCTTAAATTCTATGTATCTATAAAAGGAGAGGGAGTTATTAATTATTAATTATTATTATTAATTGAGTGTGTATGAGTCCTGGAATGGCAGGCCACCTCCACCTTTGGCAATGACTTTTTATGGTGTATAGAGAATCCCACCAGTTTATCGCAGACAGAAGGATGTAACCTGTACATGGGATTCTTGACTGCTGGGAGAGATCAAAAGCATGGATAGTGGAGGTGGAGGCTTCATCGGGGATGTGGAGGAGCACTCTCTCCTGCTCAACTCTGCCAGACACACTGAGGGCAGAATTTATTTATTTTTAAAAAAACCCTGTCAATATGTTTTGGAAGGAGCAAAATCCTCCCTCTGAGATCAAGTGTTCTAACATTTTGCAATGTGGCAGCTATTAGCTACATCTAGTAGTTTCTCAAATCTCATGTATGTGCCTTGAAGTGCAGTCAATGTGACAGCCCCTCATCACTAGCTCCTTTTCATCTTAACCTGAAAAAACTAAATGAATCCTTTGATGTAGTGAGTCAGGAATTCTTTGCTTGTTACATGGTGGACAGTGCTATATGCTGCTGGGTAAACAGGTGTTAGCAGAGAATAGTGACTCAACCTTCAGAGGGAATGACTGACTTCACTCAGTGATTTGGAAAGCTAGAGCTTATCTTTTCCACATATCTGTGGGACAGAAATTGCTAAATGAAAGAATGATGGCATATGGCCTTCTTCCAAAAAGCTAAGCCAGTGGGCATGTGTGGACAGGTTGATGCAAAGCCTCCAGGAACATCCTCTAAGGCTCTGCACCTCCTCTTCCTCTCCAGCACAGATCTGTCTCTGTCAATAGATCGTTAGGCCCCAAAGTGGGGTGGGGAAGACCTGCAGGCCAGGGAAGCAAAGTGGTAGAAAATAAAGTTATGGTGGAGTGAAGCCACCATGCTTCAGAGCTCTGGGAGAAACCTTTCTAGACCTCTCTCTTTATACAGAATCTAGTTTTACAGATATAAAAGATAAATGCACACAGCCACTAATTTTAAATGAGAAGAGAGAGGATCTCTCCAAAGCACTTACCAAACTTCTCTCACACTGTTTAGTAAAGATAAAGGACTGGAGTTTTGAGACCATGGCATGTTACGTAAGTCACGCGCATGTGTATTTTCAGAATAATTTGAAGGATTCTGGACAGACTTGCCCCAGTTGCATCTGCTGGGGCACATATACCCTTGAGTAGAGCAGTGAATAGGATCTAAAAAACAATGGTTTAGTGTCCATGGACCCCTATGCTGAAACCATTTTAGTGTTTGCCTAAAACTACCATTAAATTGTTTACAGTAACAAAGGTGGCTAGTTTTTAATACATTTTTAGGATTAAGTTCATAAGAGTGGAAAAAAAAATTCAAGCGAAAGTTGCACAAAACCCTGAGAAAACTTCGAAGACACCAAAAATATGGTTTCGGTTTAAATAAAATTCACCCTGGGCCTGGGATAAAGGGTGAAAAAAGCTCTGCACACCATATAAGCACCATGTAAGCTCTCAGTAAGAGGCTTCAGTGGTGTGGAGTGCCTTGTGCAGACCTACTGCCATGGGGTGACTTTCACCTCCCACCTGTAAATCTCCCAAAGAAAACAGCATTATTGTCCCCATCCCCACTCCATGAAAGCTTTCCTCACACTAACCGTGTACCATTCTGTAGCCGGCTCACATATGTTGCTATCAGTGCATGCTCATCAGCTAAACGATTGGCAGTGTCCAGTCTGTACTGCAACCTAGTAGTAATGAAGGCAAAGAAAGCAAACAAAACATACAAAATAAATATAAAGCAAATTATTGTGTTAACAAAACATACAACGGTAATTAAAATGAACACAGATTGATGAACAGTTAAAAATACACACATGATTCAACAAGCGTCACATGAAAATGATACCTACTAACAACTGGGTGCTCACAGCTATTGCCCCCAAATACCCTATCTTTCTGTGGGGTTCCTTCCAACCTGCATTGAGTAGTTTCATTTCTGGAAGGCACACACATATCACAAGGATTTAAAGATAGCAAGTCATTTTAAAATATGTTTTTGCTTCTCAAATGTCCTGTGCCTGTGTAATTTTCTTTCGTTCCTGTATTAGGAATTCAAACCCGCTCTTTCAGCATGACAATTCCAATTAATTCCTACTCTAGACATGTCCAGGAAGGCATTTGTTTTGGAGATATCTTTTAAAACATGACACCTATTGCTTTCAGTGGCAGTGCACTGAAATCCACATTTCTCAGACACACAAGCTCTTTTCTTCTTTGTAAGGTACAGCTGGTTGCTATATAAATCTGCCTGAAGCATAGCAAGACCTTATAATGAAGAAGCAAAATGGAATTACCCTCGTAAACCCCTATGGGCAACAAGCAACCTTTCCAATAATGGGTATGTAACAAGAGAGAGAATTAACATTAAGCACTGTACAGAAAGAACTCTTGAGCAATCAATATACGCCTTTCTTTTGTGAAACCTGACTACTGTGAGATACTGAAAAGCTTTAATTTTAGCTCCCCATTATAGCAGGCATACAGTTGTAACCACTATGCTGAAGATAGCAAAACAGTTTTCCATTACAACCTGTTTCATATGTTCTTACCTTTGTGAAAAATTCAGCAAAAATGGTTGAGCTTTTAAACTTGAAAAGGACATAGTCCTCATTGAAGACTAGCAGTTTTAGTTTTTTGGGAAAAAAAAGTTAAAAAAATTTTAATTTAAAATATAATGATGTCTGAAAACTGTCCTGATCATGCATGGTAGATATTTCACTCAGTCTCTAAGTGTATTGCACATGAGTGTGCAACTAAATTAACTGACAAAAAACTTTGTCAATGCAGAGTTAAGTTTGCGCAGTGGCACAGCCTGCCTTTCTGAGTTCAGCAAACCTCAAACCATGGAAAACCAGGAAATGAAGAGTTAAGGTACATGCTGACACCACCTTTGCCGTTGAGGCGCTGCTGTGGCTGGCTAAAGGTAAAGGATACTATTTAATTCCTAAGCAATCCTTCCCCTCCTGTACACTTTGTAGTAATAGTTGAATAACCCCATTCAGCCATTAGCAATTCACATGTAAAAAGTTGCTCCTTGCTGTCTGATGTCCTCTGCTGCTGTGAACACACCACAGGCAGCAGCTTACTAGAGGGCCACATAGTTCCTTGATTATGTGGGCTGAACTGTACATATGCCGAGCCAGGCCCCCTATGCACACAGCAGCCAGGCCTCTCCAACCATCCTCTAACCCATACAGCTCACTGCTGCTTCAGACGCTCCCTTTCCCCTGACCTCACATAGGGATTGCTTGTACTTGCACTCGGTATTTCCTAGTTTTCAGAGGCTTAAATTCAGCAACACTCCACATTCTAGAAGGCCACCAGGCACCAATGGGAAACCTTAATTCTGCATTAAAGTGCCTGGACATTTAATTCCTTGGTTTGAAACAAAATAATGTTTTAGCGCACCCATTTACTACAGCGCAGCTCTCTTCCTCCCCTGCCTCTGGCCCCTGGGCAATGATTACTCTGGCCACAGAATGTGCTGGCTGCATGCTAGTCCCTTCACTGCCTCTGCATCGTCTCTTAAGCTCCTATCTCTCTGTCTTTCCCCAAACATCCTCCCCATAGACTGCGCATGACTCCCGCATTTGGGGAGGCTGGGCGTGAGCACTGGAAGCTTCCTAGAAGTATGTGGGGGCACCTGCACCCGAACCGTGGCTCCACTCCCCTGCTCTGCCCTGAGGACCGCCCCCACTTGGCCTTCTCCCCCTGAGGCCCTGCCCACGCTCCACTCCACTGCAGGCTCCACTCCTGCTCGGCCCCCCCGCCCAATGCTCACTCCTTTCTTCCTCCTTCCCCAAGGCCCTCCTCCTGCTGCTCACGCCAATCCACCCCTGCAGATGGGGCTCAGGGGGGTGCCTCAGGGGAGGGGGGTGGAAAGGCACGAGCGGCGGGCAGGGGGCCCTCAGGGAAAGAGGCAGAGTGGGGAAAGGAAGAGGAGCAGTGTGGGTGGGGCCACAGGGGAAGAGGACAAGCGGGCATGGGGCCTCAGGGTGGAGCACGTGCGGGGTTACGGCCTGGGTGCCCTAGCAGCAGCACTGCACCAGAGGGAGGTGCCCCGCATAATCCTCCCCATGAAGTGACAGGTGTCAGCATGGGATGCACAAGTGGAGGAGCTGGAGAGCAAAGGCAGGAATAGTGCAGGGACGAGCATGGAGTCAGTGGGGACATGAGTGTAAGGATGGTCCAATGGTTAGGAGTCAGGAGACCTGGGTTCAATTTCCTGTTCTGCAACAGACCCACTGTGTGACCTAAGGCAAGTCATTTAGGTCTTGTCTACCCAGGCAAGTTCATTCAGATTAAGGTAGGGTGTGAATTTAAAGTGGAATAGCTATTCCTGAATAGCTCTCTGTGTGAATACTTCTATTCCAGAATAAATGCCTTATTCTAAATTAGTTTAATCCACAAAGTGGATTAACAGTTAATCAGGAATACTATTCCTGAACAACTCTCCGTTCGGACAAACCTCAAGTCTCTCTGACGAAGTGGGTATTCACACACGAAAGCTTATGCTCCAATACGTCTGTTAGTCTATAAGGTGCCACAGGACTCTTTGCCGCTTTTACAGACCCAGACTAACACGGCTACCCCTCTGACACTCAAATCTCTCTGTGTCTCATTTTCCCTTTTGTAAAAAAGGGGATAATAGCATTTCCCTACCTTACAGGGATGTTGTGAGGATAAACGCATTAAACATTGCGAGGACTCAGATACTACAGTGATAGGGACCATGAAGTACCTATCACTCATGGATTGATTTGGAGGGAACAGAGCTGAAATCCCTCCAACACCCCCACTGCACAGATCTAATCCTAACCTTTCCACCCTACTCTTTCCTGCACTGGTCCAACACTCCCCCTTCCTGCTCCAAAGCCCCATCCCCCTCCACCCTCACAACTGCACAGACTTCCCTACTACTCCTTCAACATTCCCTCCAACATGCCCATTGCTTCAAACCTCCCCCTACTCCCTTGCCACTCCAAGCTCCTCCCAGCACATCACCACTCTTTGTGCTTTCCCCAACCCCCAGCTTCACCCTTCTCCTTACCACTCCATGTATCTGGTAAGCTTAGAGGGACAATAGGGAGGTGGTGGGGCTGTGAGGAGTGCCTGTAACAGATGGAGGCAGAAAGGGGCAGGTAAGTGGAGATGCAAAATCCCTATGCTAGATCTGGGCCTAGTGTATGGGGAAGGTGTTCTGCACATCAATCTGGCAGCACAAGAGGCTCAGAGATGTATGAAATGGCCCATTCATCTCAATGAGGTGTTCTCTGCTGAGTGACAACACTTAATTGAGATGAACACAACCTGAAACAACAGCTCTGAGACATGTGAACAGATCCATTTATCTCACCAGGTGTTCTCATCCCCGCCTCCCCACTGCCCGTGCTTGTGAGTCTGTGACATGTACCTGTCTCAGCACTTTGTGCTTGGTGCACGCTCTGACCATGCCTGTTCTCAACTCTCTGTGCAGAGTGGCAGAGCTTCCACACTGGGGAAGGTGAAAGAGACACTCTGGTGTGCCACTATAATAAGAGTCAGATTGTGCTCTGCTGCTTTGAGGGTACCAACGTACAAGATACACTCCCACCACTCTAGGTACTTATATACCTCCTTTCACAACAGTATCTCAGCACATCATGGACATTAATGAAATCACAGACAAAACACTTTGTTAAGACACAGTTAAGGTTACCTTCTAGGTTACCTTCTACCATCTAGTCCAGTCCCCTGCACAGAGGCAGGCCTGCTGGTATATTTAGGCCTGCCTCTGTGCAGCAGACTGGACTAAATGGGCTATCGAGGTCCCTCCCAGTCCTACATTTCTATGATTCTATCTCTTGCCCTTTCAGAATATCAAGTTCAGCAAAACTCAAACGTCTGAAAACCAGGAAATACAGAGTTAAGGTACATATTGAAGCAACCTTAACTTTACCCCCCTGGAGCTGGCAATAGTCACTGGAATTATCCGCATGCACTTCAGCTGAATTCACTGTTAGGTGCAACTGTATCGAATGGAGGAATTAGTTGGAGCAGCTTGGCAGTGCTGTGATTGTGAGATTCATAAATGATCTGGAAAAGGGATAAACAGTGAGGTGGTAAACTTTGCAGATGATACAAAACTATTCAAGATAGTTAAGTCCAAAGCAGACTGCGAAGAGCTACAAAAGGATCTCACAAAACTTGGTGACTGGGCAAAAAAATGGTTAATGAAATTTGAGGTTGATAAATGCAAAGTAATGCACAGTGGGAAAAGATAATCCCAACTATATGTATAAAATGATGGGGGGTCTAAATTAACTGTTACCACTCAAGAAAGAGATCTTGGAGTCATTGGGGATAGTTCTCTGAAAACATTCACTCACTGTGCAGCGGCAGTCAAAAAAGCAAACAGAATGTTGGGAATCATTACGAAAGGGATAGATAATAAGACAGAAAATATGTTGCCTCTATATAAATCCATGGTACGTTCACATCTTGAATACTACGTGCAGATGTGGTCGCCCCATCTCAAAAAAGATGTATTGGACTTGGAAAAGGTTCAGAAAAGGGCAACAAAAATTATTAGGGGTATGGAACGGCTTCCGTATGAGGAGAGATGAATAAGACTAGGACTTTTCATCTTGGAAAAGAGACGACTAACAGGGGATATGATAGAGATCTATAATATCATGACTGGTGT